CCTCCTCCTCCTCCTCCTCCTCCTCCTCCTCCTCCTCCTCCTCCTCCTCCTCCTCCTCTCCTCCTCCTCCTCCTCCTCCTCCTCCTCCCTCCTCCCCCTCCTCCCCCCTCCCCTCCTCCCCCCCCCCTCCCCCTCCCCCTCCTCCCTCCCCCTCCTCCCTCCCCCTCCCCCTCCTCCTCCCTCCTCCGCCCTCCCCCTCCCCCCTCCTCCTCCCTCCTCCTCCTCCTCCTCCTCCTCCTCCTCCTCCTCCTCCTCCTTGGCCCTGGGGTGGTGTGCAGGCGCTCCTGACCTCGGCCCGGATCGGGGGAGGACAGAGCCCCCACCCTGGCACGTCGATTGGTGAATTGTCCGTGGTCGGTTCTCGAGAGGGCGCCGCGGCCATCATTTTCCAGGCTTGCGCCCGCCAGGTTTGGGCCCGAGGTTGTCCTCACGGAGCCACGTTTTACCAAAGGGGTTTCTGCACATTCCCGATCCTCGTGGGCACCCCGGCCGAGCTTGTCCTCCTCCGCACGAGCACGAGCGCGTGCCGCTTCCATGCGCCTGCTGGGGGCCGCGGGCCCCGAGATGCTGGAGGCTGCTGTCGTCGACTCTGACGAGCGCCAGGGGCCGTGACATCGCGCGTCTTGATCTTTTCCACGGGTAGGTTGGTGCTGCAAAGATATAGCGTGCGATGTGGCGGCGCCAGCCCGCTTATCACACGCTGTCCCCCATCTTGGGGATAGCGTGCACGGAGAAAGCACTGGCAGAGGGATAGCGTGCACAGAAGGATCAAGGGTCCCTCGCGGTGGATCGCCTCACACGGAAAGCGCGCACGGAGGAAGCTTTATTTCTGGGGGCAGCGTGCGTTTCGGAGGTCGGTGATGATCGGTGTTGCAAGCTGTCTGTGCGACGCAGGTTGTAATCGCTTTCATTCCCTTGATCGGGGTACGGTCGGACCGCGGTATAAGATCGAGGTCGGTTCGGGGAGGGTAATTCAGTAGCACCCCGCAGCTGCGGACAAGAGTGAGGGGGCGGCAAAATCGTCGGCAGCCTGCGAGGCTCTGAAGAAGCCCGCCGCAGGCGCCGATTAAAAATCAAATGATATAAAGCAAGTGGGTGGGTCGCGGGTGGGTCGCGAGTGGGTCGCGATCGCCGGTGGGTCGCGGCCGGGACGCGGGAGGGACGACGACAACAAACAGCAAACAACAACAACAACAACAACAACAACAACAACAACAACAACAACAACAACAACAACAACAACAACAACAACACCAATCATTTTACCCGAACGCTCAGTGTTCTCCCCAGTGCCAGGGTTTTCATGCGACGCCAGCCAATACCCCCACTTCGTGGGGGGGCAATGCAAGCTCTACCAAACATCCACACGACTCTCGGGAACCACCCACACCCAGCTTCCCGCCCTATGACGTCAGGACACTTCACTTCGTGGCGCGCGGACGATCGTGGATACTACACTGGCGTGGAGTACACACCCGCAGAGGTTGATCACTTGTTTGGGCCCCGCATGTGCCCCGCATGGTGCATTTGTTGCGTATGACATACATAGTACAGAGAGACAGAGAGAGAGAGAGAGAGAGAGAGAGAGAGCAAGACAGAGAGCCAGTGGGGGCCTCTTGGGGGCTTATTGGATCCTCCCGGAGGACTCTTGGAGCCGCTTGGACGCCTCCTGGGGCCATCTTGGGGGCCTCTTGGAGCCAACTTGGAGCCTCTTTGGAACCTCTTGGGGGCCTCTTGGAGTCCTCTTGGGGCCTCTTGGGACCATCTTGGGCGCCTCTTGCGGCCTCATGGGCGCCTCTTGGGGCCATCTTGAGCGCCTCTTGGGGCCATCTTGGGTTTTAAAGATTCATGAAGAGCCCGCGGGTGGATTTTGATATTTTTCGGATGAGAAAGTCTTGCGTTTGCATATGTTTTCGGAACATCGCATCTTGAAATTATTGAAATCACATTATGTTTGGCAGGATTTCGGCACGCGCGCGCGGCGGCCGCGCGCATGTGCACTTCGTGTCATTTTTTGCAAGGGATGGTGGCCCTCGTAGGCTCGCAACCGTTGTTGCAGAAGGTCGAAGCACCTGAAAAGGTTCCTCGCAAAGGCCCTTTTAACAGAAATGTTTAAAATCTGGTGGGTTTCCTAGGAATCCGCAAGAGCGCGCGGAAGGACATTTTGACAATTTTTTCTGAGAAAACCATTGGGTTTTTGATGTTTTTATGTTAAAATCGCTACGAAACCTAAGGTTTTGGAAGGATTTCGTCTTGCGCGCACGAATGTCCACTTTACCTTATTTTTTGCAAGGGATTCTTGCAATTTGATCAAGTAAAAACAAGAATTTTCATTTTCTATTGTTTTTTGCAAGGGAAAACGAGCGTCAACAAAAAACCGGATCCGGAGCTCATCCACTTTTCTGAAGCTTTCGCGAAAAAATGATGAAAATGTAGCTGCGGCCTAGGCGCGGCGCAGAGGTCGCGCACCAGGGGTCCCAACAATAATAATTCTTTAGAAGGAATAATGTTCAACAACAACAACAACAACAACATCAGCAGCAACAACAACAACAACAATAGCAACAACACAACTAACAACAACAATCATTTTAAGACTGTTCGCTCTTGTCTGCTCGAGTGGCATTTAACGTGTATTTCCCAAACCTTCGATACCCGTCCTCTTCGTCTTCGATGGTACCCTTTTTGAGGAGTGTATCTTTCTTCCCTCTAGGGTGGGCCCCAGCAGTCGGCGGGGCGGCCGCGGACCGTCGGCCTGGCCAGCGGCAGCGCTGATCGGCGGCAACCCGACCCCAAGAGGGACGGACAGGGGACCGACGACGACGACGACGGCGGCGGCGAAGACGAAGACGACGACGACGACGACGACAAGCGAAAGCGAGAGCGAGAGCGAGAGCGGCAGTGGGGCCACGAAGGGCAGGAGGGGGGCCACGAAAGGCGACACAGGGGCCACGAAGGCATACGTATGGGACCCCGAAGGGCGTGAACGAGTGGGGGCCACGAAGGGCAGAGAATGTGGGGCCACGGAGGGCAACGACGGGGCCACTGAGGGTAGCAGCGGGGCAACGTAGGACAGCAAGGGGCCACATAGGGCGACACTGGGGCCGCGAAGGGCGTGCGTATGGGCCACGACGGGCGCGAACGAGCGTGGGCCACGCAGGGCAGATGCATATTGGGCCGCAGAGGGCAAGGGCGGGGCCACTGAGGGCAGCAACCGGGCCACGGAGGGCAGCGAGGTGGCCGCGAAGGGCGACGGCGGGGCCACGAAACGCGCGCATATGGGGCCACGACGGGCGCGAGCGAGCGGGGGCCACGAAGGGCATGCGTATATGGGGCCACGAAGGGCTGCAACGGGGCCACGAAGGGCAGCGAGGGGGCCACGGGGGGCTGCAAAAGGGGCCACGAAAAGGCAGCGAGGGAGCCACGAAGGGCTGCAACGGGGCCACGACAGGCAGCGAGGGGGCCACGAAGGGCTGCAACGGGGCCACGAAGGGCAGCGAGGGGGCCGCGAAGGGCTGCAACGGGTTGGCAAAGCTTAACGCCTAGCCGTCGCCGTGCGACAGCGCTAGACTCTAAAACAGTGTGCCGCTGGCCACCCCTCGGCCGTCGCGCACAAGCATGCCATGCGCCTCACGCGCGAGGGCCCTCACTCAGCTGCTGCGTCCTGCCACCGCGGCCGGCGCAGAGGTCCCGCGAGCACCACGCGACCCACTCGGCCTCCGTCAGGGGGACGGGCCGGCCAAGGGGCGGGTCGGTCGCGCGGGCCTTGGGGGCGCGCCCTGCCTTCAGGTTGGCGAGCTTCCATGGCTGCGTCGGGCGGCCAGGGCACTGTTCCCGCAGCTTCACCAGGCGGCGCTCGACGTTAAACCCACACCTGCAGCACCAGACCACCCCCGCCGTCCGCCACAGGTGGTGGCCATGGCTGGTGACCCGCGCGCCGGCCAGCTGCACATGGAGCAGCGCCGCCGCGTGACCTCCGCATCGCTCGTCCTGCAGCGCCTGCGCTGTCGTGGATCTCTTGCCGCACCTCTGGCACTCCCAACCTCCGCCGCGTCGGCGAGCTGGGACGTGCGCCTCGGATGCCTCAGGAACCAGCTGCAGCCGCGGAGGTCGAGGTAGGGCGGGCCCGGCCACCTTCCCGACGTCTGGCCAACCCCCGTCCGACTCGTAGACCCTCTCGGTGAGCTCGGCAACGAAGTTCAAGAAGAAGTTCACCTTCTCGGCTTCCTCCCGGCATGCGCCCTGGACGAACTCGAGGAAGACGTTGGCGCCCTCCCCGGCGCCCTGCCCGGCCCGCTCGTCGGCCACAGCATTTGCGCGAGCGATCAGCAGCTCCTTGCCTTCCAGCGTGGCTAAGGCCGCTGCAGACCTGTGGGCCTTTGTCTTGCGGAACTGGACACCGTGTTGCCCCATGCCGAGGTCGTCGATTTTCCGCCAGATGGCCCGCCAGAGATCCGCGTCCAGCCTGGCCGCGCACGAACACCAAGCAGGGCCCGCAGCGATCCCGTCAAGGCTGCTCTGTCGGTCTATGTGGAGCGTGAGCGGCGGCAGCGCGTGCGCCAGGGCGCGCTCCACCGCCTGCAACTCCGCCCTCGCAATTGTGCGCTGGACGGGGAGGGAGACGGGCAGGGGGCCCCACACTGCTGCTGCAACCTCCATGGGGGCGGGGTCCAGCGCCGCCACGGCCCACCCGGCTCGCCCGAGCCAGCGCCACTGCCCACCCTTGAGGCTGCCGTCCGTGCCCGCGTCCCCAGTCACCAACGCGTCGCCACTGGGGGCACTCCCAGCTCTCGAGCAAGTCCTGCGGCTCGAAGCGGCACCGCAGCCCAGGGTGCGCAGTGAGCCCGCGCTCCCAGAGCCAGCGATCCGAGCTCGTCGCGAGGGCATGCTGTCAGCGCGGAGGGAGCTGAAGGCGATGCTCACGGAAGGCCGGACAGCTGCCGAGGCGGTGCCGCGCCGTGCCGCGCACCTGGAGGCCGCGAGCCGCACGGGCGCGGCACCATGGCGTCGCCGCGGCCCCTGCCTCGTACGCCCGGTGCTGCGTCCAAGGCCCCGCTGCCACCGCCTGCGCCGCAGCGGAGGCGCCGCCGCTCCACCGACGCAGGTGCCGCGCGAACCAGGTGCGCAGCGGGTCGATGAAGGGGGCCGGCTGGAGCGACGCTCGGGCCGGATCGGCGGCGATCCATTCCGACCGCAGGACGGCCTCGCTATCCTTCAACGCCATGGCCTTGACGTCAACGGGGCAACAATGCCGGAGGTCCAGCTCGCGCCCGTCCCGCGTCACGAAAACGTGCCACGCTGGCCACGACCACCCAAGCCGTCGCAAGACCAGTATGCACGTCGACGCTGGCCCTGCGAGTCTGCTCCAAGAATCCGCGCCCATGAGCCGCACCTGTTGACGGCGCCAAGCCGCCGCCAGGGTGCTCTCCGGCGTGGTGCCATTCCAAACCTGCTCGGCCCAGGCTGCCAGCGGGGCAGCATCGCACTCTGGCCACGGCTCCTGGCCGAAGATCGCCAACCGCAGCGTAGTGGACCAGTGCCGATGGCGGCCGGGGAGGCCGACATTGAGGGCGGCCCGCAGCGCGTGCACCTCCAAAGGCTTCAGGCCCAAGGCGCGGTAGCCATACGTCACGGAAGGCTTAAGGCCCGCCTTGGTCACCTTGTACACCTTCCCGCCCCACCGTTTCGCTCCTGCCACGAGCGCCCGGCGCTTGGCCATGCGCGCAAAACGCTCCTTGCGCACTGCCGTAGGCGGGGGCCGCCGGCCAGACGCCCAGCCGCGCCTGTCGATGCCCAGCTGATTCGCCGTCTGCTGCAGGCGCACGCCGAGCCAGGCCATGCTGCGCCCGAGCTTCTTGGACAGCCACTGGGACGTGGCAAGACACTTGCTCTTCCCTTTGACGCCGGGCAAAGTGAGGCTGACCTCAATCTGGAGCTCATCCCAGAGGTACGCGATCAGCCAGCTCGCCGACTCGCGCGTGGCCGTCTCCACCTCGCGCGCCACGCCATAGCAAGCCAGCCCCATGTCGTCGACATACTTGGCTAAGCTCACCTCGTGCCACCGCTCCCGCAGCAAGTCGCAGGGCTCCAGCAGGACCAGGTGCAGGACGGCCAGCGCGAAACGGCTGCCGGGCACGATGGCGGACACCACGGCGACGCACTCGCTATGACAGCCGTCCACCAGGAGCGCCCTGGCGAGGGAGTAACTGGCGAGAATCAGGCGGAGCACGCGCGGGGGGAAGCCCCAGCGTTGACCCCGCCGCCACACGTGCCGGAGCTGGACCTTCTCGAAGCACTTCACCAGGTCAAGCAAGACCGTGGCCACTGCCTGGCCGTCGGGGCCCTCCCCCAACGCCATGCCCTCCTCCTCCACTAGGTGCCGCCACACTGCCTTCTCGGAGGAGCCGCCCCGGCGAGCCCAATCGTAGTCGCGCTCCACCGTGCGCAGCCACGTCTGCACGAGCGGAAACCGGACGGCTTCCCAAAGGCGCACCAGCATGGGCATCTTCGCGATCGGCCGCTTGCCGGAATCGGGTTTCGGGATGAGGAGGTACACCAGCAGGGACACCTGGCTCGGCCACATGAGGGAGGCCTCCACCTTGTGCAGGAGGGTGACCATGTCCTTGTGACAGCCCAGGCTGCACTGCCCCAAGGCGCGGGGGTTCCAGCGCGCGACGCCCAGCCCCGTCTTCACCTTGAACTTGGCCGCGGCGCTCAGCAGATCGGGAACGGCGATGGCCAGTAGCGGCTCATCTCGCTCTGCCCCCGCCAGCCACTCGCGCGAGATCTCCTGCACCTCCGCCACGTTCGCCTGCCACACCTGGGACCACGCGTCCAACTCCGCTGCGCAGACGGCCTGAGGAGAGCACGGCGCGCTGCAATTCCCGCTGGTCGGCGACTGCCAACGCGGCAGTGGGCGAGTGAGTCCGTGCAGGGCGCCCGCGTTTCCTGCCGAGGCAGCCGCATACCTCTGCCGTACGCCGGCGAGCACGGCAGCAGCATCGGCGCGCGCCGACTTCTCGGCGTCGGTGTCCAAAGTGGCACGACCACGGGCCAGCGATGGCCACGTCGCGCGCCCAACCAGGGACTGGGCAGGCGGCCCGGGCCCAGGCCCAGTCTTGATGGCCCCGGCGATGGCCCGGCAGTAAGCGGCCCACGCCTCCAGCCGCAGCCGCAACTCGTCGAGGATGCGGCCAGCCTCCACGTCCATCTGGACCCATCGTGCCCGCCTCGTGATAGCATGCAGCAGGTCTGCCATCCGCTGCCGCCGTTGCGGGCGGTCGCCCTTCGGGTCAAGAGCAGCTCCCACGTGCCAAAGTTCCGATATCATGGTGCTGAGCGCTCGCAGGTGGTATGTCGCCCTGGACTGTCTGGCCGGAAGCTGTCGGACCCCGCGCACGGGCCTCTCCCGGAAACCCAGCGGCTGGCCCCGCCCCTCATACCGTCGCGCGTCAGCGCCCACCAGATCGTGCAGCCCCAAAATCTCCTGCTCGACCTGACCAATCACTGCAGCGTAGGCCTTGTCGACCTCCAGCTGATTCCCGGCCTCGCCTGAAATCGGGAGTCGGGGCGGAGGCTCCCGCGCGCACCCGACGGGCGCCTCCAGCGGGAGCGGCGCGGGCGCCCGCGGCTCCCGGACCACCATGGTCACCGGCCGCCCCCGCATCCGCAGCTCGACAGGTTTGTGGGGGGCTGAGGGCCACGTCGCCGCCACCTCCACGCCAAGCACCTGCTCCTTCACCCAGGAGTCGACCATGAAGTAGTCGAGCGTGGTCCACGTCTCGCCGGAACGGCATGTGCCAGCACGCGGCGCAACGATGTGGGCCCGCAGCGGCTGCAGAACCGGGCAGGCGGCAAACTCCTCTGGGTCCATGTTGGCATCCATGGCCAAGATCCAGGGCATCCCAAGAGCCCGCAGCGCGGCTGCCCTCTCCGCGAAGGCGTGCGCCAACAGCATGTTCTGAGCGTCCCAGCCCACGGAGTCGACAAAGTAAGCCGCCATGACGACGACTCCGGACCACAGGTTGAGCCACCTCGCCGTGAGGCGGCCTGGCAGCCCAGCAGGGGAGATGTCCTCAACATCCCAGTGGGCCACCACCTCGGATCGCACGTGAGAGCGCACGGCCACCAGCACGCCTGCGGAGGCGAACCGCTTGTCTCGCCCTTCCTGGGATCGCGTCGCCAGCGCAAAGCTGGAGTGCCAACCCTGTGCAACGAGCCACCGCCGTGGGGCTGCAGCATCAAAGTCTTCCAGCTTGTGCTCCGCCGCGCACACCGCGAGGACGCGTTTGCCCACGCTCTCGATATAGTCGCCAATGCCGCTCCACGCATTGCCGTTGAACATTGCCACCGTGACAACCTCTGCCGCCGGCATGCGAGCAGCGGCTCCAAACACAGGGGCATGGCCGTGAGGCGGAACCACAGCGCTACCCACGTTTCGCGATTGCTCTCTGGACCCCCTTGTCCACGTGCTTCCGGAAGGCAGCTTGCAGCGCTTTGGTGGCGCCCTCCCGGGTGACGCGGGCTGCGGCGGCGCCATCTCCTGGGGTGCCGCCCTCTGCAGCAGGTGCAGGACCAGGAGCATCGCCACCACGGCCCAACACCTGATCCAGGAGGGCCTCGACCTCCGCCTCGGGCATGTCAGCGTCCTCTTCCTCGCCCGGCTCTCCGCCCGGTTGCTCGCCGCCTCGCGCCGGATCTGCGGCTGCCCCCGCCGCAGGGGGGACGGCATCGGCGACGCGGGCTGCAGAGCCTGCTTCCGCCATGTCTTTCTCGGCCAGCTCCTCCATGGTCTTGAGGCAGGCCTTCCACTGCTCTCCGGATGGGCCTTCCAGCAGGCTCTGGAGAGGCTCGACCAGGGTGCGGAAGGCTGCGGCACGGTCCAACGCAGAGGCGCCCGCCTTGGGCAGCGCACCGGGCACGGAGGCCAGGACGAGCGCGTCCCGCTGCTTCTGCAACTCCGCTCGCTCCTGCCTGGCCGTGTCGTACTCGGTGCGCAGCGAGGCGACCGTCTTCTCAGCCGCTGGGATGGCGACCGACTCCAACCGGTCCACCACCTTGTCCTTCCGCTTGATCTTCTCGTCCAGCTCCCGGACTTGGACATGGTAGGGCTTCGCGGCAGACTTGGCGGCCTGCATGTTCTGGAGCTGGCCGCGCTTCTCTGCGCGCAGGGCGTCCATGGCTGGGGAGTCCTCCATGGCCTCCAATGCCTCCAGGTCGGCGCGCAGCTTGGCGATCTTGGCCTGGTCCTGCTGAGGTGCCGTACCCGCATCAGCCGCCCCAGCAGCCATCGAACCTTCGGCCTTTGCCACGGCCGCCTCACGCCTCTTGAGCTCGGCCTCCTTGCCCTCAAGCTCGCGCTCCCGCAGTGCAGCCGCCTGGGCACCAGCAGAGGCTGATGGCGAGGGCGGCGCGACCTTCGCCAAGAACACCACGCCCTTGGCCAAGTTGCACTTGAAGCACGACGTGCGGAAACCCTTGTTCCTGAACGGCTTCCCGTCGTGGTCCTTGCACGATTTGCACGTCCACGCATCCGTGCTGCGCTCCAGCCGGTGCCGCGGCGCCATGCTGCCAGCGGAGGAGCCGTGGTGCGCGCCCAGCCGCCGCGCAGCGCTGTCCAGCAGCGCCCGCGAGGAAGGCGAGGATCGCCCGGCCCAGGCGTGCAGCAGGGCGCGGTCCGCCGAGCGGCGGAGGCGCGCTCGATGATGAGCGGCGGACTCCCGCGGAGCCGCCGTGAGCGCTGGTCTCAGCGCGCGGTGGGGTTGGCCCCTCGCCTGCCTGGCGGGCGCCCGAAGGGGGCAGCACCTCGCGAGCCGAAACGAAGGGCTGCAACGGGGCCACGAAGGGCAGCGGGGGGGCCACGAAGGGCTGCAACGGGGCCACGAAAGGCAGCGAGATCCCGATTCCTAAGTAAGCTGCGGGGGGAGTCCTAAGTGTGAGTTCGCCTCCTGGGTGCCTGAGTGTCGGGAGCGCGGCGCTTGAGTAAATTGCGGGGGATTCCAACGCAAGAGCGCGATTCTTAAGTAAATTGCAAGCACGTCTCAAGCGAGAGCGCGACTCCAGAGCGCCGAGCGAGCGATTTTATTCTACGGAAGTCCCAAGCGACAGCGCGACTCCTGAGTAAAATGCGACGAAGTCTCAGGCGCGAGCGGGGGTCCTGGCTAGACTGTCAGGAAGTCTCAGGCGGGAGCCGTTGTTGCTGTAATCTGGGGGCCCAACGATGCAGTTTGAGCTTAGTGATTTCCTCTGATTAAAAACAGTGTACGAATCCCGGGGGAAACACTTCAATTGTGGTCACCGGAGGTGGGGATCAACAATACTTGTTCTTCAGCCGTGAGAGTTTAACAACAACAACAAACCAACAAACACAACAGCAACAATCATTTTACCCTCATGCGCGATGTTTCCACACGAAGCATGCGACCATCATGATAACCATCCACATCATGGGGGACTCTTGTGTTATGACGGGGTCCGTTATTCCCATTCCCGGATCTCCCGCCCAATGAGGTCTTGCAAACACCTCCTCCGAGGAATTTCAACTTCTCTTCCTCGAAAACACATGCCCGCGCCTTGCTGCGCCGATGAGAGACCGCCAGTAGAGCCCCAACGAAGGGTAAAACACAAAGAAGTACCGAAAGACAGGATTGCCTTGGTGGGGATGGGGGCTGTCGGCGGTGAGGCAAGGACTTGGCCCTGAATAGACAGGCGTGAAGTCTCGAGCAAGGCTGCTGTTGTTGCTGGGAGCGGCGCCAATGCTGGAGAGAGTAGGGCGCTAGTCCAGTGTAAAACGAAGCGAAGTCTCGAACGGGAGCGCTGGTTTTGCTGGGACGGCAGCTTTCGGCGGCGACGAGGAGCACCGCCTTTTTGTAAAAAATGAGGAAACATCGAGCGGGAGCCGTGGTTTTGTCGGGACGGGGGCTGTCGGCGGCGAGGAACAGCACCGTCCCGAGGAAAAAGAAAAGAAATCTCGAGCGGGAGCGTTGTTCTTGCTGGGAGCGGCGCCAATTCAAGAGAGAATGGGGCGCCAACCCAGCGTAAAACGGAAGGAAGTCTCGGGCGGGAGCGCCGGTTTTGTCGGGGCGGCGGCTTTCGGCGGCGAGGAGGAACACCGCCTTGAGTACAAAAGGGAGAAAGCCTCGAGCGGGGGCGTTGTTTTCGCTGGGGGCGGCGCCGATGAGAGAAAGATTAGCGCGCCTCTCCAAGGTAAAATGGGAGGAAGTCTCGAGCGGGAACGCTGGTTTTGTTAGGACGGCGGCTTTCGGCGGCGAGCAGGAACACCAGCCCTGATGAAAAAAGGAGGAAGTCTCGAGCGGGAGCGTTGTTGTTGTTGTTGTTGTTGTTGTTGTTGTTGTTGTTGTTGTTGTTGTTGTTGTTGTTGTTGTTGTTGTTGTTGAAGATTATTCCTTCTAAAGAATTATTATTGTTGGGACCCCTGGTGCGCGACCTCTGCGCCGCGCCTAGGCCGCAGCTACATTTTCATCATTTTTTCGCGAAAGCTTCAGAAAAGTGGATGAGCTCCGGATCCGGTTTTTTGTTGACGCTCGTTTTCCCTTGCAAAAAACAATAGAAAATGAAAATTCTTGTTTTTACTTGATCAAATTGCAAGAATCCCTTGCAAAAAATAAGGTAAAGTGGACATTCGTGCGCGCAAGACGAAATCCTTCCAAAACCTTAGGTTTCGTAGCGATTTTAACATAAAAACATCAAAAACCCAATGGTTTTCTCAGAAAAAATTGTCAAAATGTCCTTCCGCGCGCTCTTGCGGATTCCTAGGAAACCCACCAGATTTTAAACATTTCTGTTAAAAGGGCCTTTGCGAGGAACCTTTTCAGGTGCTTCGACCTTCTGCAACAACGGTTGCGAGCCTACGAGGGCCACCATCCCTTGCAAAAAATGACACGAAGTGCACATGCGCGCGGCCGCCGCGCGCGCGTGCCGAAATCCTGCCAAACATAATGTGATTTCAATAATTTCAAGATGCGATGTTCCGAAAACATATGCAAACGCAAGACTTTCTCATCCGAAAAATATCAAAATCCACCCGCGGGCTCTTCATGAATCTTTAAAACCCAAGATGGCCCCAAGAGGCGCTCAAGATGGCCCCAAGAGGCGCCCATGAGGCCGCAAGAGGCGCCCAAGATGGTCCCAAGAGGCCCCAAGAGGACTCCAAGAGGCCCCCAAGAGGTTCCAAAGAGGCTCCAAGTTGGCTCCAAGAGGCCCCCAAGATGGCCCCAGGAGGCGTCCAAGCGGCTCCAAGAGTCCTCCGGGAGGATCCAATAAGCCCCCAAGAGGCCCCAACATGCTTTCAAGAAGCCCCCCAAAGCCTCTCAAGAGGACCCCATGCGGCGCCAGGAGGCTTCCCCCCTTCCCCAAGAGGACCCCCAGCGGCCCCAGGAGGCTTCCCCCCTTCCTCTCACGCTCATATCCGTAGCCATCTCGGATCAAGGTATCGCCTGTGTTCTTGGATCATGGCTTTGACGGCGAAAGACCTTCACGAGCAGTATGGCGCAGAGCTGTCCCGGCCTCCCTTGGCCGACTGCGAGAGTGCGTATTATTTGCATCAGGCGCTCGCGGCAAAGGGTATCAATGCCAGTCACCAGGCGTGCAAGACTTGGTGGGCCAAGTATCGGGTTGTGACTGGCAAGGTCAGTATTTCTAGCGCCAAGGAGCTGGAGGAGCAGCACGGGTCTGCCATCCGCCACCTGGGCATCGAGTATAATACCGCTTACAAATTATGCCGGGCGCTCCGACAGTTGGATCCACCACTGTATGTGCCAGATAGGGTCGCAACGGCGTGGCTACTGCAGTATTCATCGAAAGACACGCTTGTCCAAGTGCAGAACGCTGGCCATCTGGAGAGCTGGTATGGAGAACGTATTCGCGGGGCACATGCGGGGCCCAAACAAGTGATCAACCTCTGCGGGTGTGTACTCCACGCCAGTGTAGTATCCACGATCGTCCGCGCGCCACGAAGTGAAGTGTCCTGACGTCATAGGGCGGGAAGCTGGGTGTGGGTGGTTCCCGAGAGTCGTGTGGATGTTTGGTAGAGCTTGCATTGCCCCCCCACGAAGTGGGGGTATTGGCTGGCGTCGCATGAAAACCCTGGCACTGGGGAGAACACTGAGCGTTCGGGTAAAATGATTGTTATTGTTGTTGTTGTTGCTGCTGTTGCTGTTGCTGCTGCTGCTGCTGTTGTTGTTGTTGTTGTGGTTGTTGTTGTTGTTGTTGTTGTTGTTGTTGTTGGGGTCCAGTTTTGGCGGTCCCCCAAACCGCTCGAGCGTGAGCCTCATTTTCAATGAAAATGTAGCCGTCGCCTCGGCGAGAGCGCCAGGGTGCCTATAAAGGGTCCAACAATACTAATTGTTTAGTAATTCACATTCATCATCATCATCATCAGCATCATCATCATCATCATCATCATCATCAGTATAACAACAACACCAATAACATCAACAAACACCACATCAACAACAACAACAGCAGCAACAACAGCAACAACATCACCAGCAACAACAACAACAACAGCAACGGCAACGGCAACAGCAACAGCGACAGCGACAGCGACAGCAACAACATCAGTAGTAGGTTTAAGGCCGTTCGCTCTTGTTTGCTCCAGGCGGCCATGTCGAGCAGGCGGGTTGCTGAAGCGTGCATCCTGCATGAACCGCGAGGAAGTCTCGAGCGATAGCGCGATTCCCACATACATCGTGAGGAGATCCACAGCGAGATTGTGATTCGTAAGTGCCGAGGGCGTGGCGTCTGAATACATTGCGAGGAAATCCCACGCGAGAGTGATTCTTGCATGAATTGTGAGGATGCCCTGCGCGAGAGGGCGACTTGGGCATACTTTGTGAGGAAGTATCCGGTGGAAACCGTTGTTGTTGGTGGTGGTGTTGTAAGCCGCCAACAACACAGTTCGGTGACACTTCACTTCCCCTTGTAAAAAGCAGGGCGCGAGCCCCGAACAAGCAGTGCATTTTATACATACAATTGTTACCAGAGGTGGGGGATCAATAATCGTTGTTTTTAGAAATGAAATTCAACAACATTAACACCAACAGCAACACCAGCAACAGCAACAACAACAACAGCAACAATCATTTCAGGACGGTTCGCCCTTATTCGATCGCGTGTGATTCAAATTCATATCCCAAACCCTGGATACCCGCTCTCTTCGTCTTCGATCGTGCCCCTTTGGGGTGTTTTATCCTCTCCCTGCAAAGTGTAGTTGCAGAAGCCACCTGACAGGAAGACGCAGGGGAAAGGAGAAAGGGAAATCATGAAAACGAAGGGATCGGAGGAAGGGAGGGAGGAGGGGAGGGGCAACAGGGAGGGCGGACGACGGTTTGTGCCGCGGGTTGCGATTCAGCTTCCGCCATTGCTTGCGCCAGCCATCCCAACACGGGCTGACCATACACCAGGCTCACTCTTATAGCGCTCCTTTACCCGGAGTTTCTTGGCCAACAGCTGTCGTGAGTGCTGGTCTTCGCTCAGGGTGGTGGCGCCGACCACCCTGAAGAGTTTCTTGGCAGGCGGGCGCCTTGACGCCACAGAAAGAAAAAAC